GAACTATTCTGAACCAATATCCATTGCAATTTATTCTGCAGAACCGTTACGACAATATTAACAACAAGATAAGTGGGCAACGAGTGACCATACCATTGAAGAATTCAATGCGACAAATCAAGCCTCTGATAACTAGTCCACAAAATCAATGTGAAAGGAATTCTAAAGACTTCGGGAACGAAATTGTTGAAGTATCTGATGATGAAGATATTATATTCAAAGATTCGCAACCAGGAGCATCCGATTTGAACACTCAGGATACGGCAGTAAGTGAATAAGTTCGACACATTGCTATCGAAAAACTTCTCAATCATTTCCAAAGTCTTCCAGTTATCAAAAATCGTCTAAGGCAGTGGAAAGATCGTCCCGAATTTGCAAATATCCACCGACAATCCCACAGAATTTGATTTCACTTGCAAATTTCAGATAACTATTACGCTATCGAATTCGTTTGCAAATGTGTCGCAGTCTAACAATCTCCAGTCGAACTCTGTTGCTACCGTTGAGAGCCACAACAAAGATGATAGGTTCGCGGATACAATTTTTTAGCACTTACTTTCATCGTATCATTCAAGAGAACTTTCACGTTTGATTTGAATTTTAGGTGTCTTGTGTCTGAAATTGCAACAAATTTGGTGCCAGCAAAAGATGTTCCTGAGAATAGCTCATTGCCGAGTGTTGACGACAGCTTTGAGGATGATTTCTATGATGATATGGAACTATTATCTGATGAGGTATATCATTTTTTGTTTGGATTTGATGACTGTTATATCGCGATTCACTTCACGACAAATTGTTTTCGGCTCAATGGCTGATAGATGTTGAAACGTGAATGATAGTTGTACAAGGCGGAGATGAATTTTAAGGGTGACGCTCGAGAAGAACGTTCAGCAGGCGTAGAACCAGCAGTCACGGCATTGCAATTAAGGGCAACAACATTCACAAACACTCAACCTGGGCAACGAAACGGTACCTACCAGGCGTTTTCTGATTTAATTCGACCATTGGTTTGGTTTCGGTTTTGCGGCAAGAAGACCGAAGTCAATTTCCATATGAGCAAATATTTTCAGTTAGGATGCGAGAATTGAAAAGCTGATATTTCAGATATGCATGGTCAATTCCGAGGTTTGTTCCAAGATGACAGTGTGGAATTCGAAGATGAAGGTCAGTTGTTATTTTGAAAAATGAACATTGCAAAAAGTTTAGAATATTTTAAATATACGTTTAATGTGTCCACTTCGAAGCACTTTGTCATGAACGAATATGATTTTGATGGAATAAAGAAGGATCACAGTTGAATTAGTAGAGTGTTTTAATAGAGGTGGCAATAATACCGATCGAATTTTAGTGGGTTTGCTGGGTAGAGAACGTCGCGATGAGATGTATGAAGTGTTGAAAACAAAATTTGGCTTCAATCAGTTCAGACATCGACAAAAAACCGTAATCACGGCCGCCCTACTTGGCTACGATTGCTTCGTGCTTATGCCCACTGGTATATTTTGTTTTCGTTTTGAGTTTCACTGTTATTTCCATCGGCAATATCAATTGTTAATTCCGTATTCGCATCATTTCGATTTCAATGAGTTGTGCAATAATTTGCTATTTATTCTGGTTGTCAAGTAAAAACAGATAGTGATAAAAGTGATCTTATTGATGGTATTCAATCAACAAGCACATCTCATCAACCAGAAAAGAAGAATCTGCGGAGTGTAAATGAAGTTTATTGTTTGGTAGGCAGAGAATTCGAGCAATATGTGAATGAGTGAAAATGAATTTTAGGTGCTGGCAAAAGTCTGTGCTATCAATTACCGGCAGTGTTGTCGAAGGGCGTCACGATTGTGATATCACCATTGAAATCGTTGATTGAAGATCAAAAAATGAAAATGAAACAGCTTGAGGTTTGTACAGAGACGCTTTTACTACTCAGCATTCTCACTCATAGGGATTGTCATTGAATTTCAAACGCATTTGTTAGATTATCATTGACATGTAATATTATTAGAAGAAGCTTGTTAGATCATTTTTTGCCAGTGAATTCGAAATCTGAAATCATTGTCCAAGTTTGGTGGAAGATTTCTGTGACAAGTTATTACCATTGACACTTTCAAATAGATTGAGAAATAAAATGATGATTTCTTGCTTGGGCCATTTATGTAAATTTCTGTTTTGCAGATCAAATGCGATGCACTAACGTCAGATTTAAGCCAGGCTGA